GGAAAAGGACCCACATGTACAAAAATATTTATAGCAGCTCTTTTTGTGGTGGCCAAGAATTGGAAATTGAGGGGATGCCCATCAGTTGGGGAATGGCTGAACAAGTTGTAGTATATGAATGTAATGGAATACTATTGTTCCATAAGAAATGAGTAGAGGGATTTCAGAAAAACCTGGGAAGACTTATATGGACTGATGTGGAATGAAATGAGCAGAACCAGGAGAACGTCATACACAATAACAGCCACGTTGTGCAGTGACCAGCTTTGATAGACTTAGCTTTTCTCAGCAATGCAAGCATCTAAGACAACTCCAAAGGACTCATGATGGAAAATGCTGTTCGCATTCAGAGAAAGAACTATGGAATCTGAATGCAGATTGAAGCACACTATTCTCTTTCTCTCTTTTTTTTTCTTTCTCATAAGGTTTTTCCCTTTGGTTCTAATTCTTCTTTACAACATGACTAGTGAGGAAATATGTGTAATATAATTGTAAATAGCCTATATCAGATTGCATGCTGTCTTGGGGAGTAGGGAGGGGAGGGAGGGGGAGAAAATTTAAAACTTAAAATCTTATAAAAGTAGATGTTGAAAACCAAAAACATTAAATACAATTTTTTTAAAAGGCTACCTGATAAGGTACCTTACATTTGCATCCCATTTTAGTAGTTCAGAGGTGCTGGGATATTGCAAAAACAAGATCCATTATAAATAAGTTTTACCTGCTATGATTAGAGATTTGCTATGAAAGGAAGTGGGGAGGAACATGGTTGTAACAACATCAAGACTGTTCCTCCAGGCCTGAGGGCACAGAGTAACTTAAACATAGGTATAACAGAGTAAAGCACCCTTAGTTCTGTTTCATTTCAGGTAAGCGTAATAGTTAATTTTTGGAATAGCCAAACATGCAGCAGAGTTTCATATTATTAATACATAGGCCATCATAGCCAGGCTCAGGATTAACCAGGTGGGAAGCATTCCTTTTCAAAAATGATGGGGAAACTTGAAACAAGGGGTTCTTACCTTTACTTATGTAAGGTTGTCCCGTCACCTTTCCTAGAGACAAACTCCATCCACCTGTAGCAGTTCTCAGATCACACTTCTTTGAGCAGCTGGTGACATTTCCCTTGAATGGTGGATTGACCAACTTGATCATTCAATTATACCCGAATTCAAAACTCAGAACAATATCAAATTACAGTTCCAAAAGATTTTACCTCAGCAAATTTACCTTAGCAAAGCTAATCACAGCTTAGGGCTAGATGTAGTTATTATCTCTCTCACGTTGTTGCAATAATTGCAATAATAGTCAAAAATAAAAAATTTACCAGGTTTTTTTTTTTTAAAATTCACTCAGTGTACTTTTCTTCCTTTTATTTTCTTCTTGAGTTTAAATTCATCCTGGTGTAAAAATCATTCATGAGAAATTAAAAAAATAATTCCATTCTGGAATTCCACATAGATAGTGAATATGTTCGCTCAAAACCCAGAAAAACACTGGCTACTTAGTATGTCTCCAGACTAATAGATAACCATTTCCTAAGGTATTTTATATTAACTCCTTAAGGCAAAAATAAATCTTTAACACTGTAATCTGTTGAGACTAAGTAGGCTCAAGATATAACTTCAATATATACTCTTCCAGGTATAATTTCACAATTTTCATAATAACATCATAAAAACACTTCTATACTGTAAGCAAACTTGTAAGTCCTGGCCCCCCGCCCCCATCTTGTGGTGAATATTTGTGATGGAAGGGAGGATCACAGTTTCTCGGTAAACTTAATTCATTATTTTAGAATTTCACATTTAGCAAGTTCTTTCACAGGGCTGATAAGATTTTTTGACCTTGCCCTAGTAGAAGGTACCAAGGAACCTGACAAGTTTACAGATAGGGAGATTTTACAAGGTCTCTCTCTCTTTTTAAACTTCCCACAAAGTAATTTTGATTTTTCCCTTTTAAACTATACCCAATTAAATACTTGATAGCTGTTGACATTATAACAGCCTCTAAAAACCAAAATTAACGATTTCATGACATCTAGGTAAAAAGGAGTTAAATTTTCCAAGGATACAATTGCATCATACTTTTTTTTGCACTTTTTAAAATTAATTTATTTTGCTTTATCAACAATCACTTCCATAAGCTTTTGAGTTTAAAATTTTTCTCACTTTCCTTTCCCACCTCCCTCCCCAAGACGGCACGCAATCTGCACATATATATCACACATACATTGCATCATACTCTTAATAGCATTTCTTATACAATGGTTTCCCAAATTCACATTAAGAGAAAATTTAGAAACGCAATAATCACATGTATTTAAAACATGAAACAATACTTATTGCCAGTCAAATGACACCAACTCAGTTTGAATACTTTAATTGTATCAGTTTTGGCGTTCTATACTGATTGTATTCAAGACCAGTATAGAGTAATTATACATAATATATTTTAAATAATATTAATTGGTATTGTATAATAAAAACTTGTGCTAAATTGTAAAGGAGAAATTCTTAATATAATATAATTTATATATATACATATAATATATTAGCTTAACATAATATCTAAAATATGGTGCTTCCTATGTGCCAGGCACTGTGCTAAGTACTTTGCAATTATTATGTCCTTTGATCCTTACAACAGCCTTGGAAAGTAGGTACTATTATTATCCATTTTACAGATGAAGAAACAAGGAAACAGATGTAATGACTTACCTAAGGTCGCACAGTGTATGCATTTTCTGAGACTGTATTTGAACTCAGGTTTTTCTGATCCATACATTTTCCACAAGTGCCTTAGTGCCAGATATCAAATATATTTTGCGTTAAGTTCTGATTTACCACAGTTATCCTAATAGGACAACATATCTCACTGCAAATGAGACCACATTATAATTTAGTTTCAAGACAAACTTCAGCTAAATCAGATCGGGGTTTACAATCACTAATGGTAACATTCAAAATCTCAATTTTGCTAAGGGCCACTACTACCACTATAAATTATAAGGCATACTACTTTCACTTAGTCTACTGCCAAATATTTAAAATGGTAGTTTTATATTCTCAGTTCCCTCTTTTAGGATCCATGAGAATTTTATATTCCTCACATAATAACTAAAATATACCCTCCTGATGGTCCTTCAAAGACAGAAGTTTGGTATGCTAGCCTCAAATCCATGGCTACAAATATATTTCTATATTTCCATATCATAAATAACAGTTACATAAAGCCCTTCAAAACTGATGTTTCTTGTTTCTTTTTGATATTCTGATCCACCACCTTATTGGCTTTCTTCTGTTTTCTCAGTCCTCCAGTCTTTTATTTCCTAATCACATCCCAGACTATCTGTAGAACCAGTTTTCTTCACTCCACTGAATTTCTCCTTTACAATTTGGCACAAGTTTTTATACGATACCAATTAATTCCAATACTTTTACTTTTGGGGTTCTTAAAAACTTACAAAGGCATGGTGCATTCCACTTTCTTTTAGATGACTTTACTTCTAATTTACCTAAACAATTATGTTCTGTTATATCATTCACAAAAGAAAATATAGTGGCAACATAAAACATTCTCCCACATTAATTTTTACTTATATTTAAATTGCTCTCTGATTTAAACAAGTATCTCTGTTTTCATGGTCAAAAGAAGAGTTAATAAAAAGTAGTTCTTAAGTCCCATATAAATTTAAACTGCAGACAGCAAGCCCATTTTTTTTTTCATATTGGAACTTCACTGATGATACTTTCAAAGTGGCTTCAGTTCTTTTTCTTCTTCTATCACCTTGGTGATAACCTGGCTAGCCCCCACCCCATGATAGCTACAAGAGAAATTCACCCTCCTACTTAAGAGTTCTTAGGATTGTGCTTTGGCATCCCACTGGGGAAAGGTCAAGGTGGAGACTTTTTCAGAAATTGCAGGGTCTCTCACGTGCCTGGATCATGGCCACTTTATCATATCATCCTTTCTTAGCCTACAGTCACCTCAGCTGAATCCCACTGCTACCATTCGAATTATAGGGTCAAATCTAGACACCAGTGTTGGAGGGAAATTAGAACAGCTTTATCATGAAGTTCAACAAATAGCCACCACCCAAAGTAAGTGCACGTAGGCCGTCTGCATGGGACTAGTTGGTTAGTTCTTGAAGAGGACCAAAATGACATCACTATGTTGCAGTCAAGGTATAGTGTATCCAACTGTGGCTGATCAGACCAATACAAGCTCAGAAGGCTCTACCACAGGTCAGGCACAAATAATCCATGTGAACATTTGGAGTAGAGATGTTTAAATTTACACATCTCACATTTCTTTTGAGCTACTGCAGTTCTACTTCACTCAGAGCACAGAACCTTCTTTGATGCAGGTACGCCATGCTAGGCAGTCCTTTGCCAGTATCTCCCATATCTCATAATTGATTCCAGAGTTCTTTAGAGAGGTCTTGAGAGTGTCCTTGTATTGCTGCTTCTTTTTTTTTTTCTTCTGCTTTTTGGTGAGGCGGTTGGGGTTAAGTGACTTACCCAGGGTCACACAGCTAGTAAGTGTCAAGTGTCTGAGTCCGGATTTGAACTCAGGTCCTCCTGACTCCAACTCCAGAGGTCTGTCCACAGCACCGCCTCGCTGCTCCGTATTGCTTCTTTTGACCACCGTGCGAGTGCCTATCTTGCGTGAGTTCTCTGTAATAATCTTTTAAGCAAATGTACATTTGGCATTCAAACAATATGGCCAGCCCATTGGAGTTGTGTTGTCTGTAGTAGAATTTGAATGCTTGGCAGTTTAGATCGAGAAAGGACCTCAGTATCTGGTACCTTATCTTGCCAGGTGATCTTCAGAATCTTCCTAAGGCAATTCAAATGGAAGCAATTCACTTTCCTGGCATAGCACTGGAGACTGTCCAGGTTTCATAGGCATACAGTGTCAGCACAATGGCTCTATAGACCTTCACTTTGGTAGGCAGTCTAATTACCTCTTCTTTCCCACACTTTTCCTCAGAGCCTCCCAGATACTGAGCTAACTCTGGAAATGCATGCATCTACCTCATCATCTAGGTGTACATCCCTAGAAAGTATACTGTCAAGGTGAGTGAACTTATCCACAGTATTTAGAATTTCTTTATTTGCTCTAACCAGTGGTTTCACATAGCGTGGTGGTACTGGCTGGTGGAGCACCTGTGTTTTCTTGGTGTTAATTGTCAGGCCAAAATTAGCACAAACAGCAGATAATCCATCCATCCTTTGTTGCATCTCAGCTTCAGAGGTTGCATTGAGTGCACAATCATCTTCATACAAAAAAATCACGCACCAAATCTCCCTGCACTTTAGTCTTAGTTTGTAGCCTTTTCAAGTTAAATAATTTACCATAAGCACAGTATCTGTGTTTGTCCTCATTGATGGCGTCTGACAGCATTGATAAAATTACAGCTATGGGTCAGGTAAGACCCCCATAAAGAATCAAGGGACTTTCAGTCCCTCCAGTGGGGGAGAAGTGACATCTATTAGTAAGAGCTTTGGCTTTTGCAATACTTGTGAGGCCATAAAAGGAGGCAGGACCCTGAGGTAGATAAGGAACAGGGACAAGATGGGGGGATTTTACAAAATGGAGTCACTTTTGGTTACTTTGCTACATGCAGTTGTAAGCCTATTATCTTTTGCCTTTTAAATTACTGTATTCAGCAACTTTGGGATTGATACAGGGCAGGGAAGTGCAGTTTGGGCACTGTGATCCCTCTAGTAAGGACGGGAAAAGGTGGTTGTGGGGAAGTACTGTTCTTTCCTTTCTCAGACTTTTACTAATATGCTTATTTGCCTGTGCCTATTAAAAAAAAGGTCTCCATCTCAATCTCTCTCAGCCTATTGATATCTTTTTCTTTGTACCACATTTGTTTCCCCATATACCCCATACCAAGGAGCCCTTCCTTGTAATGAAGGAAAAAAAAACTCGAGTCGAAATGACTGCAGTTGACAGCTTTTGCAACATTTCCAACCTGTTGTCTCTTACCTCACTACTGAAAGGAAGAAAGTACATCATCATTTGTTCTCTAAGACCAATTAATCTGAAGTTGGCTGTCTTTTGGCATTCACTTTGTTCTCTATTGTTGTGGTTCTTGTGGACGTTGTTGTAGCTTCGCTTTCTTTACTCTTATCAACTCATAAAAATCTTTCCATTTCCCCCCAGTGCCTGTTTAAGATGCATCAATAGCTTATGTTATATTTTGCTTGTTGCTTGCTACTCAGTTTTGGCAATGGATTCATTACTTTCAAGGGTTAAGTTTCTAAAGTTTGTGTTAACTCAACCTTTTGTCCTCCAGATGCTGAAGTTCCATTAAGGGTGAAAGAGGACGGTTGTTCAGGACATGGTGGCCACAGTAAAAATGGGTTAATTTTTCTTTAATGTACTTTCAGATGTAGCCCACTGTGGCAAAAAGTAAGGAGCCTCTACTAAAAACAGTACATTGTACTTAATATTTGAAATTTTCAAAGGCCTTTTCATCCACTAACTTTTTAAAAAAATTTATTTTTGTTAATTTATTTTGATTCATCAGCAATCACTTCCACATACTTTTGAGTTTAACATTTTTCTCTTCCTTTCTCCCTACCACCCTCCCCAAGACGGCACACAATCTGATATAGGCTGTATATATACATTCTTATTAAACATATTTTCAGATTAGTGATGTTGTAAGTAAAAATTAGAACCAATAGGAGGAACCACCAGAAAGAGGAAACAAAACTCAACAGAAGAGAAAAAAAATAGCGAATAGTATGCTTCGATCTGTATTCAAATTCCATAGTTCTTTCTCTGGGTATGGATAGCATTTTCCATCATGAGGCCTTTGGAGATGTCTTAGATCCTTGTATTGCTGGGATATCCACTAACTTTTTAAAAAATCAAGATTAACCATTTTATGAGAGGTAGCATGATATAGTGCTAGGCCTAGAGAAGGAGAGAATGGTCCAAATCCCAGCTGCAGTAACTAATAGGCATATTTCTTACTTGCTTGGGGAGAAGCTGAGACCAAAGTTTCTCCAGCCAAGTTGAAAAAGACCTCTGGCACTCAGTAAATGCTTATTGATTGACGTTTTATTGTGCAACAAAAGACTTGACTTTCCAAAGCAGTGTAAAACAGAGATACAGCCAATAGATTTAGGATTTTTTAGAATTATTAAGTAAGATCATTGTTAATGTTAGCAGTGGCAAATAAAAGGTATTCCTCTTTTAATTTTATTAACAAAAAATACTTTCCAACTCCTAATTTGATAAGATACTCCCACTTTTGATGAAACTATATGATCCTTCAAATTGATTATCTGTTTATTCAAGGGAAACTGAATAGCTCTTCTATTTATTAGAGACATCAGATGTTAGACCAGTATGCTGTTGTAATATTATTAATTTTTGTAACACAGCTGACATCTTAGTGCTATAGCTTATTAGTGTAGACTGGACCTTTCATTTTGTCCTTGACTTCCTTGGTGTGCATGCTTCATACTTAGTAGTGGAGTCTCTGGGTCAAAAAATAGACATTTTTCAATTTCAAATTGTTTTCTTTTGCACTTGGACCAATTCACAGCTACAAAAATAGTGAATTAGTATGCTTCTCTTTTCACAACCCTTCCAACACTATTTCCATCTTTTATCTTCTTTGACAATTGCAGGGTGGGAGGTGAATTGTCAGGGTTATTTTAATTTAAATTCTACTTTTGAAATGGTCCTTGACAGTTTGAAATTTTTCTTTAGAATACAATTTGATCTTGTGCTCTGACTGCCTATCTATTGGGGAATGACTCCTGCTCTTAAATATTTGTAAATTCCCTATGTAAGAATATCAGGCTTTTAGCAATACTATTTGATGCAAAGATTATTTTCTACTCACTTCTGCTTTATTTTTAAAACTTTGCCCTATAAGTAATGATCAGCTTATTAGGAAAGTTAGCAATTTGCCAGTTCAAGGAGTCTAAGACTCTTCAGTAACCCCGCCATGACAGTGAAGGCAGTTCTTTTATAATCTTAAAAGAGGAATCTTGAAATCTGTAGCAATGGGGTATACTCTAGTTACTCTTGGCCAGACTTGCAGTGTGGTGATTTTGCACAACCCCAGGACAATAGCAACAACTTAGATTGCCTGGAATAACACACTGACATCAATGCTTCATGGAATACATTTGACCTTTATCTTAAGTAAGCCTCTTCTAAAAGTGAATGGTGGGTGACTTACAAGAATGAAATAGGGAACTAAAATTGCAGGCTTAAGGAGTTTAAACTCGCATAATAAGGTAGAATAGTAACTTGATTAAAGCCTTGATGAAATATAGTATATAAAAATGTTACTATTACAACTTACAGTAAATGTAAGCACTATAAGTAGCAAATTATATCCCTGACCCTATTAGTTATATATATTTGAAGTAAACCAGGTTATTTGGAATAAGCTACCCCAGGGGTGGGGAACCTGCAGCCTTAAGGCCATATATGGCCCACTAGGTCCTTAAGTGGGCAAAAGGCCACGTGTGGCCTCCAGGCCACAGATTCCCCACCCCTGAGCTATTCTATAACAATTTGGAGTTTGTTCCTTCCCTTTTCGGGCTCAGAATTGTATTTTAGTTTACCCAGAAGTGATCAAATTCTGGGGAAGCCACAATCTCAGAAGAGAATCATTTTGGAAATACAAGGCCAAATCATTTACTTGTAGTGAGGAATATATATACACACATACACATAGTGTATACACACACATATATACACTAAGAGAGGCCATATTAATCATTTGGACATGATCTCTGGATTTAAGGTCACTTGTGACCAAATTACATGGTTTTTTCAGAGTGCAGAATCTCTCAAATTAAGTGAACAGGAACAAAAGGAGAAGGAAATCGGGCAAATGTTGTCTCAGTGGATAGAGCACTGGCCCTGGAGTCTGGAGGACCTGATTTCAAATCTGGCCTCAGACACATGACACTTAGTAGCTGTGTGATCCTGGGTAAGTTCTAAATTCAGTTTATAGTTGTTTTCAAGGCTGTCATAGTTGAAAAAGAGACCTCACAAAGAAATGTAGGAAGAAGTGTATTGGTCATACTTACTGAATCATGATACTAAATTTTTAATTCTGTCTACCAATTATGTAAAGATTTTTGTTGTATTTGGCTGGGAAATATTTATCTTCCTTGATTACAATGATAAGATGATCTCTGGAGGTACCAGAGCCTCCGTCTGTAGCTGTTCTAGATGGAGAAAAGGGAACTTTAGCAGGACACATGACATTTCCCAGCCACTCTTCTTCCTTCTTCTGTCCAAGGGCACAATCATCCTTCCAGTCACCCAGTGTCATACTTTGGGACTGATTGGCCAGAGGAGAAAGGGTGAAGAGTGAGAACTTTTTTGTCAAAGTTTTAAAGCTTTCAAAGGATATAGTCTCATATCTGTGTTTCTAATTATGGCCAAATTGGGAATGCAGGGGTTGGGAGGGAGGGAGGGCAGGGAGAGAGAGACAAAAAGAGAGAGAGGGAGAAAGGGAGAGAGAGAGGGAGGGAGAGAGGGAGGGAGGGAGGGAGGGAGAGGAAGGGAAGGAAGGAGGGAGGGAGAGAGAGAACGAGACCAGTATGGCTTTATAAACCAGGCAAGTTGATGTTGAAGTATACAGGATAGAGTGTGGGCCTGGAGTCAAGAAGACCTGCATTGAATCTGGCCACACACACTTATTAGCAGTGTGACCCTGGGCAAGTCACTTAGCCTCTGTTTGCTTCAGTTTCCTCAGCTGTAAAATGGGAAGAATAATAATACAGAACCTACCTCCCAGGGTTTTTGTAGGGATCAAATGAGATAGTATTTGTAAAGTTATTATTCAAGCATAGTTGATCCATTCTCTGAATAGTAACTGTTGGTGCCATATGTTTGTAGCTATAAAACCAAAAGGGATAAGTACTCCATACTGGTCTCTGAATGCAGCTTGTATAGAATGCCAAAACGGGTAGATGAATGGAATGTTTTTCCATGTAAAATAATTTAGAGATGCATTCAACTAGAATAACATTAATGGATGAACAACAAGTTTTGTGTGTTATGTTTTAAATCTATAATATTG